TACGCCGACACTTACAATCCGAGCTGGAGAGATCATCCAAATATGAGGTGGAGGGAGTCTCAACAACCTCAACAACAAGGGGGATTTCGACAAACACCCCCTCGGATGTTTGCAAGGCCATACGCACCAACTTAACCTCAATCACAATCAGCCCAACCAAAAACATATTCGTCCATGGATAATGATCAAATTGTTCAAATATTAACCACTTTGGCGCAGGGAGTCCAAAATCAAACTCAAGCAATGCAAAATCAAGCAAAAGAGGTGGTCGAATTAAAGAAAAAAATGGGGTAGATTTTAGAGTTCCTTGGGCAGTTTAGAGAACAAGGCAAACTGCCTAATTCAACCGTTGCAAATCCAAGGGGAGGATTTGAAACCACCAAGGCCATCACGTTAAGAAGTGGAACGGAAGTTGGAACTGACCCACAACCATCCAAATCAAGTTAAAGGGAAGATGAAAAGTTGCCGATTGAAGAGGAAGAGCAAGACAAGCCCACGACAAGGGTAGCACAACCCTTGCCGCAGCCACTTAAGCAACCTAAGTCGTCCAACTCTGGTATGGTGGTTCCAAATTCAATTGTTTCTAACGTTATTTCTTCGAATGTTCCTTTTCCTTGCAGATTTATGCAAGCCAAGAACGAAGATGATGAAAAAGACATTCTAGAGACATTTAGGAAGGTGCACGTCAATATCCCACTCCTTGATGCTATAAAGCAAATCCCAAAGTATGCCAAGTTTTTTAAGAAGCTTTGTACAACAAGGAAATGAATTCGGGAGAAAGAGGTGGTGCATGTAAGTGAGAATGTCTCTGCAATGTTGCAAAGAAAGTTGCCACCTAAATGCAAAGATCCAGGTAGTTTTACTATCCCTTGCGTCATTGATAATACAAGGTTTGAACATGCCATGCTAGATTTAGGTGCTTTTATTAATGTCATGCCATATTCTGTTTATGCATCTATGAATCTAGGAGAGCTTAAAAATGATGGAGTTATTATCCAATTAGTCGATCGTTCTATTGCATATCTGAAATGAGTTTTGGAGGATGTTTTGGTGCAGGTAGACCATTTGATTTTTCCTGCAGATTTTTATGTGCTTGAAATGGAGGATTCAGCCCACTCTCCATCATTGCCACTTTTACTTGGACGACCTTTCATGAAAACAACTTAAACCAAGATTGATATGGCCAAAGGAGAAGTCACTATGCCGTTTGGTGGTGACAGGATTAATTTTAATGTTTTTGACTTTGTGGAGAAGCCTAATGATGTTCGTTCTTGTTTTGCCATTGATGTTGTTAAAAATATAGGGCAAGAATGTTCAGCACCAATCAAGAAGGATGAATATAGCATCACCATTGAAGAGGGACGTGGAGTGGAGCACAAGAAACACCCCACTTTCCTCAAAACACCCAATCTAGCCGAGAGCACCTCTCATGCATTTGTTGATAGTGTTGCCATTTTTGAACCTTCATTGCAGTACATCGGTGAGCCACCTATTCCTATTCTCATTCCCATTTCCACTAATAGGTTGTTACCATCTTTGGTACAGGTACCCAATCGAATTCAAGGTGTTGGGACACCTTACATTGACTTTAGGAAGTTGAACGCCATAATGAGGAAGGATCAATATCCCCTGCCGTTCATAGATCCACTGTATGGAAATTTTGAGGAGCATGTCAGGGAGGATGTACCTCTTCATGCCGTGGACTACAATGGAGCTTAAATGGAGGTATCGTCTGGCTGGAAGACGTTAAAGCAAGCGCTTCTTGGGAGGCAACCCATGTGTTCAAACGAGGAAATGAAGGAATTCGAGCTTTATACCCAGATTTACGTTCTTAAAGTCTTCTCTTTCTTGCTTTTACTTTGCCATTACTGTTGTGTTTGTTAGTTGTGTTGTTTGGTTGTTTTCGGGTGAGTCTATGTTTGAAACATTGAGGACAATGCTTGGTTTAACTGTGGGGGGGGGGGGAATAGATTGTTTTTCATGTTTTTCATGCCATATTTTTGGATTTTTTACCACCTATCACTTCTAAAAATTGTTACTCACTGTTTTTAAGTGTTTTTATTGTATTTTAAAGTGTTTTTGTGTCATATAACAGAAAAGGAAAGAAAAAAATCGAAAAAGTTTTGAAAAACCCAAAAAGAGTTGTTTTGTTTTGTTTGCCTGTCATAGGGTACCTTCCAACACAATGATGAGGATTTGGTTTTTAATTGCATGACTGTTAAACAAAGTTACAAACATGGATGGAAGTTTGATATGCTCTTTGGTTTATGCTTAGTTGTAGTTGTCATTTATGAATTCATATGTAATCACAAAGGAAAAAATCAATTTTTGTAACATGCTTGAAGGAAGGAACTCAAACAAACGTTACAACCCGGAGAGACTTGAGCCTATACCTTTGTTTGGAGAGTTATTAATCTGTGAATTTTTGTTTTCTAAAGTCATTCCATGATCTCATTATTTCTTTGCTTGGTTGCTACTTAGAATGCGTTTTATCACTTTAGTTTCAAATACTAGAACTCATGCCTATTTCATTCAAAGCATGAAATTGATTGCATAACATATAACAAGATGAAGTTGTTTAGATAAAACCAGAGCCAAAAAGACTTATCCCTTTGCATTTTTATTGTAGGTTTAAACCCTTTGAGCCTTTATTAGCCCACATTATCCTTACCTAGCCTATAATAGGACTATCCATACACTTGTTCTTAAAGGATAGTGAAGCATGATTTAGAAGGAATTCCTTTTGATCAACATATGCAGAAAAATAAGTGTGGGGGAAGGTTTTTAGTTGGAATTGTATGGTTGTACATTTTGGGTGCCAAAGAAAAGGGCACGGCAATAAAAAAAGAAAAAAAAAAGAGAAAAAAAATTGTGGAAAGAAAAAAAAAGAGAAAAGTTGTGAAAAGAAAAGAAAAAGAGTTGAAAATAAGTGAGAATGAACTCACATGTGTTGGTTGTTGAAGAAAGGGTCCAAAAGTTTGAATCTGGCCCTAAAGTTGTATGAATCTTCCCTTTATGTTTAAAGTTGATTTTTGAATTCAAAAGTGAATTCTAAGTGTCAATTTCATTCCTTTGCTTACTATTTCTTTAAGAACCTTTGTTTTCCTTTACCTTTCTTTGTTAGCCAATACCTTTAGCCCCGTTACAACCCTTAGACTTCTATCTTGATTGTTATGTGTTTCAATAGGTGGAGTCTGAAATTGGTACGAGCATATGGTATCCCTGGTTCTCGCGTCTAAGTAGTGGCATTCTGTTCATGAGATCATACACATGTTTATGTTAATAACTCCAGAAAGTGCTTTCTTTGTTTAAAAACATATGTGAGTGTTTAGTCTGCATGTTTACATCAATCTTCTCACATATACCTAGTGTAAGGAGTAGTCATAAAATCTGAGTGAAAATAGAGAGTATATCCGGTGAGGAATTGAGTGAATTCTCTAAGGCATGTTACTACATTAAAAAATGTTGTTTTAATTGATTAAATGTGAGCTAGTAATTGGTGACTATGATTAAGTATGTGCTCGAGAGTAAGGATGGCTAAAATCTATGTAAGTAGTGATTTTTAACATGTCATGTTTCATTGGAAATCCCTGAGGTAAACGTTGGAAGGTTTAGGCCATGTTTTGTTTGTTTTGTTTGTTTTGTTTTCTTTGTTTTGCTCGAGGACTAGAAAAAGCTAGGTGTGGGGGAATTTGATAGGAGCATATTTATGCGACTTAGTTAGCATATTTTCTTGCATTTACTTAGTTAGTTTATGCTTATTATAGTGTTTTAAGCTATTTTCGTGTGTTTGTAGGTCCTAATGGCAAAGTTGGCAAGAAAGTGCATTTTGGTGCAGTTTTAGGCTGAAATGGATTGCATGCATATGGAGCAAGTTGGATGGACGCTTTTGGTGCTTAAATGAGGCTAGGAATGTGCTACAAATCTGGAGAAATTATTTCAAGACTTGGAAGATAAGGAATCAACAAGAAAGAAGGAACCAAACTGCCTTATCTTATCCAAACTGTAACTAACCTTATCTTATCCTATCCTATTCTAATCTTTTCCTAACTTAATTCCTACTGCAAGGGGGAGTTAATTTCTGATTTAAATCACCTAGAAACCTTTCTAGAAGGCCTTATCTGTTCCTACATTGGTGCTGCATGTTTTTAGGCCTTGTTCTTCTAGAAATCAGCCACATAACATTGTTTCTAGAATTCCCTACAAAAGTGGCGCCCTAAATCTTTCTAGAAGTCCCAATTTCTGCCACAAAACACATTGTTTCTAGATTCCCTAGAAAAGTGGCGCCTCTACCCTTTCTAAAAGGCATTTTCCTTGCCTTGCAATCTACTCCCTTTTCCCTCAAAGTTTGCTGCAACTTCCTATCCCTTTTCCCCTTTGGATTCTGATCGTGTTAGCCTTTTTTCTTATTGGATTTGGATTGTACAAAGCCTTTTCAAAAAATTAATTAGTCTTTGACCCTTCTCTTGAGGCCCAAGCAATATGTGTCGCACCCTTTAAACCCTAGACCTAATTCTGAAGGTTTTCAGCCATGTTATATATATATATATATATATATATATATATATATATATATATATATATATATATATATTCTACACCACCCACCACACCATAATTCGTTGTACACCACCACCCATTGAGAAATCCATATTTTGTTGCAGAGGAGAGAAGACAAGACCTTGCCCTGGCTTCCATTAGAGAATGCGGAGTATGCCGCAAGCCTACCTGCATCCTTTGGAGTTTCTAGAGTTCTTTCTTCCCTTGTTTTGTTTCCATGTTTATTTCATATTGCTTTTCAATGGGAAGTTGCAATTGCATAAATTTGCATTCAGGATTATCAGATATAATGTTAGAATTAGAAAATACAGCTCATCTAATTCTAGAGGACCATGATTTGATATACTGAAATGCAAGGCTTTGTTTCATGTGAGATTTCATATTCTCAAAAGAACCACTATATATTTCAGACAGCAATGCAATTTTTTTTTCCAGGAGCATTAACTTCAGAGGCATGCATTTACAGTTACATGTTTAAAACAACTGAATATAGGAAGCCACAAATGAAAATTTAGTAAAATCAAAAGCATATATCAAATTGTATGTGTTTAAAACAAAATGAGTAGTTCCACGAAAAAAAATCAGGAAAGAGAAGAAAATACAGCTGAAAACACTTAAACTTACAACATCTGCCTTCTTTCCAGAATTTTCCCCCTTAGTTGAATCTACACCAACTGGAACTCTCATCTTCTTGGAAGGACGGGTATCTGATGCAGCCATAGGTGGTTGAGGTGGTTGATCTAAAAATATTGTTTTGCGTTTTTCTTTCTCTTGATTATGTGATATTCTAGCAGACTGAGTTGCAAATCCATCAAATCCAGGTTGAAGTCTTAATGTCTCATTTGAAGCATATGCCCGCGCACCACTACAAACCGTTGGCACTTCCGATTCTGTAGGTGTCAGAAACAGTCATATTGACATCTATCAGTTAAATCAGGAAGTAACATACAGAGTTGGCATTCTGAGAAATAACCTCTCACTACAGGGTTTATTCTGCTGCTAGACTTGTCAATTTTAACCGGAGAGGGCATCAACTTGGCCGAACCTAACTTGGAAGACACCATTGACTGTCCAGCTGGATCTTTCAAATTTGTCTGGAACTTGGGAATCCTGAGGAGCTTTTCATTGTTTCTCTTGTTAAAATATCTCTCCACTGCATTGCAATCAAAATATTTGAAGACGGTGATAGATATTAATATGCGCTAAGAAAGAAATCATATAACGGATAACTTTTATGATTATAGGGTGACACAAATACATTGTAAATATTAGACTATTCTAAATAGTGCCATGTGAATTTAAAACCAATAAACACATCCACAGTTTTAATTAAAAGAACTTTGATCCGAAATTTAAACAGATATTAAACGCACTCCAGGTCATTGGTGAATCACTTCAGCATTGTTAATGTCCGTTTAAATGTCAGTTTTCACTATATAGTTCCAAGACCTTGCGTGACATGTAGCAGCAATTTGACCAGGATATCTCATATCAGTTTGCTTTTAAGCGATATCATATCAAGAAAGTAATAAATGTTTTTATTTCTTTTAGGATAAATCTCAATAGAATTTAGTTAGAAAATAAGTCTTAAAGCCATTATCTTTTTAACTTCATCGTTTGATTACAACAGGTAATTAGTTCTTCGTTCATATTCCCTTGTGAGGAGTTAACGATTTGTTATGCAACAAAGTTGCTCTTTTCCTCCCCACCTTCTCTCTTTCCTCCTGGTAGAGTTCTATTAGCTACAAGTAAGGGGAATTTGATTGTTTCTTAGAAGGGGGTACCAGTCCTTGAGAAATGACATCAAGTTTACAAACATTTATTTGCTATATCTGCAACAGTGTGCTCATTTCTTATGAGTTAAGTCTACATTAAAGATGCAAATGTATAGCGCACCTACAAGTATGGAGTCATCTCTTTCAACTGCTACCTAAATTGGTAACAGGCTTTGAAAGTGACAGTAGCATTCTGAATATAAACATATTTCACTATTTTCCATAAACAAAGTAGCTTGTATAGAAGTGTTCTAAATCAAACCTACAGTATGGAAACTCTTGATGGTGGTTCGCTAATCCCATAACAATAGGCCAAAACCACTACATCCCAACAAAAGATAGACACAATACGCAATGAAATAACAGGATAAACATGTCTGATTACAATCTAACATCCTATATTTGACTGACCTGTAAGTCCCCTTATTTCATCGGGAAAAATCTCCAATATTTCACACTTTCCAACATCAAATGTACGACAGAAGAAGTAATTAGCCGTTCTCAACTCTTCTTTAGATGGCTGACGATTCCTGTCGTCCTTTGATGTGCAGACAACATTGCATTTTCCAGCAATTGCTTCCTGAAATTTGTATTTAAAAGGGTGTCATGCAAATATATTTTTAATATAACATGAGGACACCCTTGTTAACTGTTTTGTATACATGCAAAAACGAAAGAACCTTAAAATAGTTTCCATGTAGCTTTTAATTGAGAAAACAAAGCCAGTATTCTGATCTGAGAGGGGAAAGAAGATGAGAGGAAAGATTATAATATTAAGGCCACAGTTACATAAAAGGAATACATGCAGTTAAGGTTAGCAACTATTATATTTCATTAGTTAACAACAACAACAACAACAACAAAGCCTTTTCCCACTAATGAATCCTAGAATGCCATTGCGCTCGGTCCTGTGTCATGTCCTCCGTTCGATCTAGGTATTCTAAGTCTTTTCTTAGGGTCTCTTCCAAAGTTTTCCTAGGTTTTCCTCTACCCCTTCGGCCCTGAACCTCTGTCCAGTAGTCACATCTTCAATCATTACCAAACACTCATTACATCCACTCATTACCACAACCCACTCATTACCAAACATCCATCCACTACACCCATTACATCCACTCATTACCACAACATACACCACTACCACCTTAATTAGATGGTGGTCCTCTCCCTAGCCTATAAATACATCCACCCTTCACCATAACAAAGGGGGAGGAGAAAATATCCATCAGAAGACACTACATTCACATCTCACAACTCCATACACTTACACTTTCATTCCTTGGCCGGGAGAACACAATCCACCCATCCACCCTTCACCATAACTCACCTATATCCATCCACCACCATAATTTACCACTCATCCATCAAACCGCACCTTGTGCCGCAACAAAGAGAAGAAGGAGGACCTTTAGACGTGCTTGCCATTCAAGTTGGATTGTTGGAGCATTTTTAGGTGTTTTCATTCTTTTGTTTTCAATGTCTAAATTTGTTTATCTTTGCTTTATGAGTATGAGGAACTAAACCCCCCTTAGCTAGGGGGGAATTCGAAACCATGTTCATGCTTGCAATATGATTTGATTACCTTCAGTTGTGATTTCATAAGTTGTGAATTCAATTTGTTTAACTGCTTGATTGATAACTTATTCGTGTATGTTTATTAAGAGTGCACACTTAGTTTGCATGCATGAATATGATGCTAGAGTATAAGGGAGTTTCACCTAATAGTTACAAACTTCTATTCACAAGTAGTGGAGGTTGCTTATAAACGATCGCGTTAAATAAATTTTTGGCAAGAGTTTCATGCTCATCATAGTAACGAATGCCTCGTCAATACTTATAGTTTTCATAATGCTTAATCATCTTTGATTGTATCTTTATTGTGTTGTTCACGTAAAGAACTTTTGAAGAATGCTTGAATTGTTGTATGCACTTTCCCATCCAATTCAATAACTTAAAGAGAACTTGAAGGTTAACTTAAGCGGACTTAATTAACCTGGGGTGTTGAGTTTCATGATTGGTCGAAAGAACAACTGAAAATTGGTTTATGTGCAAGTATGTCATGTGTGGAGAAGAACCTCTTAGCTAGCCTTCCATCCATTCAATTTACTCAATTTCGTGCAGATTTCATTAGTTCTTTAATTTACTTGTTTTGTTTTCAAATTCGTCAAAACCAAAACCCCCTTTACTTTAAAGTGTTTTATTAGTCAAAATCTGTTTTGATTTGTGTTTTTAGGTGTCCCAAAAGTGTGTTAGAGTCCAAATTTGCCCAGTTTGTGTTTTAGGCAGATTTGAGCGTTTTTGCTTGTTTTGAGTCCTTTGAGTTTGTTTTAAGTTCTTTGAGTCTAGTTTAGTGTTTTTAACTTTGTTTATATGTTTTTAAGTTAGTTTAGAGGTTTTAGCAAGCCCTCCTAATCCCCGGTTTAGAACGATCCCTACTTGCATTTATACTACAATTTGACAACAAGAGGGTTTAATATGTGTGTTAAGTTAATTTTCGCATCAACATCCAAAATAACAATATTACATCGTCCAACATCCAGAAGTATTCCTCGGATACTAATAGATAAACATCCAAATTAACAGATTAACAGATTGGAAATATAGAAAACCTAAAGTATTTCTCGGATACCAATAGATAAACATCCAAAAGCTGGAAGAAGCCAAAATGTTTTACCACAGATTGTCAAAGTACCTACGGTTCACCCATGGAGTGTGACAAGCGAACAAGAGTTCATTAAACTAATAAGAGTAATGGCAGAAGGTGACCCTCTCCTAATGGAGTTAGTTTGAAGGTAACCTCATCTCTTTTGATACTAAAAATACTGTGAAAAGGGTGTAAGAAAACATGTACCATTTTGTTGATTGTCATACGAAACTCTTTTCTTCTTTTTTAGGGGGGTATCTTTGGTCTCATTTTTCCTCGTTTTCATTTTTTGTAGGTTTATGTTTTACCATTCATTACTGATTGAAGATCCCCCCAAAAGATGTATTCATCTCTCTCTATTTGTTCATCAATATATGAAATTAGAATTTGTGTCTTTAACAATCCCAAATTTGACTTGTAGATTGATTCAAATTCTTGCAACTGCTACATTTGGATTTTTTTTTTGTTAGAATATCATCTTGAATTATTAAACTCCCCAAGACTTACCGGTACGAGTGGCTAGCTCTCCAACCTTTATTTCTTTTAGCAACTCATCCTCTACAGAAACCCTGAAATGTAATTTCAAATGGGGGAATGAGTAAGCTCGGGCAATTTCGTTCATAAGCTCGAGTTGATAATTTTGTAATTATCAATTCAATCATCAATCTACTGCAAAATTAAAAACCCTAAAATCCCAAATTCCAATTTTAAAACCCTAAAATCCCTACACCCAAAATTCAAATTTCAAATTAATAACAAAACCCTAATTCAAAATTACCTAAATTTTAGAGGGATGATGGCTGGTACCAGTGTCCTCGACGACGGTGATGGGGTTGCTATAAAAAATGAGAGAATCGATGGCAGGGGTGATGGCCTAGCCCCTGGGTTCTCTGGGATGTTGTCCAGGAGGATGATGGGTGGTGGTGCCGTTGTGTTCGCCAAGGAGAATCAATGGTTGGTGAGGGGGAGGACGATTGGAGTCGAGGGAAGGAAACTGTCGAGGGAACTGTCGATGTTGAGAAGGGACTGAGAGAGAGTCTGGGAGTGAGAGTGAGAGTGAGAGTTGAGATGAGATGAGAGAGAGAGATAGAGAACATAGGGTATAAAACTAAAAGATTACATATGGCAGCTTATTCATCAATCTGGTCCGACCATTTTAATTACAAACGGGCCGGTCTAGGTACCCGTGATTCCTATACTCCAGGAATCGGCCCGAACCGAAAATCACAAAGGCCTGCCCCGACCCGCCCTGTTTCTCTTTTTTAAAAGTAGGAACCGACCCTTACCCGCCCCAAACCGCCATTACTTGCCCCGACCCGCGGTTCCTGTACCCGTTTGGCCACCCTTAGTGCACACTTAATTTGCATGCATGAATCTGATGCTAAAATATAAGGGAGTTTCTCCTAATCGTTATGAACTTATATTTACAAGTAGTGGAGGTTGATAATCACAATCATGTTAGGTAAATCCATGGAAGGAGTATCATGCAGTTCATAGTTATGAATGTCATGTCAATGCTTATGATTTTCATAAAACTTAATGATCTTTGATTGTATCTCTATCATGCTGTTCATATAGGGAATTTAAGAAGAATAATTTGATTGCCGATGAGTATTCCATCCAATTCAATGAACTTAGGAAAATCTGAAAGTTAATTTGTGCTTTTCACAATTAATTTGGGGCATTGTCGTTCATGGTTTAAAGAAACAATACTGGAAATCAATTTATGTTGCATATGTTTCATGTGTGGAGAAGAATCCTCTAGCTAGCTCTTTAGTGTTTTGAGTCAAGTAAGTCTTAAATTCGTCCAAATAACTCTTTAGAGTCAGTTTTGAGTCTTTTTTATTGTTTTGTGTTGTTTTGAGTTAGTTTGGTTTGTTTTGAGTCATATAAGTCTAGTTAAGAGTCTTAGGGGGCGTTTGTTGCGTCGTACTATCTCGGACTGGACTAGCTTCAAGGACTAAGCTGGACTGGCTTAGACTAGACTAAGCTGGACTAACTTAGTGAAGCGTTTGGTGCAGTGTTGGATTAAGAAACTGATAATAACAAATTCTAATATTATATTATTTAATATATAAATTATTTATATTTTATTATGAAGTGATCGGAGATGACGAGGAGTCTATCGGGAATGGTCGTTGAGCATGACGAGGACGAGAGAGGATAGTCTTAGCTAGTCCCATGGTTATTGGGGGGTCTCGCTAAGACTTTTTAGTGAAGTGTTTTGTCCATGCTAGTCCCTTTTAGTCTCATTAATGTTAGTCCCAGCATGGAACAAACACGATATTGGACTAACAGCTAGTCCAGTCCAGTCCAGTCCCACTTAATGAGGGCAAACAAACGCCCCCTTAGAGTCTAGTTTTCTGTTCTTAAGTTTAGTTTTGTGTTTTTAAGTCAGTTTTTAGTAGATTAGCATCCCTAGTTAATCCCCAGTCTAGAACGATCCCTACTTGCATTTTTACTACAATTGTCAACAATAGGGTTTAATTTGAGTGTTAGAATATTTCACATCATGATCCCATCCGGATCCATTTTGTAGGGATCCTCACATCTTAGTCATTTATCGTGTATCGTGCGTTTAGAAATCATTTGATTTTTTATTTAAAATTAAATACAAATAATATCTAACGAAAACTAGTCGCACGATGTACGCTTCCTTTTCCGTTATTCTCAACCTAGACTCTAATATTAAAGAAACAAAATAAGACACGTTAATGTTTTTTATTTTTCTTTCAAGCTGGTAAGTTAGAAAAAGATAGGGTTTAGGGTTTTTTTTTTTTTTTTTTTTTTGGTCAAAGGGTTTAGGTTGAGCAAGCTGGTAAGTTTGAAAAAGATAGGGTTCAGGTTTTCTTTCAAGCTGGTAAGTTAAGATTTAGATCCAAAATTAAAAATTCTGTCAACTCTCCGTTATTTATTAGCACGTGAGGCATACATATTAAGCTAAAACAA